CCTGGAGGGGACAAGGCAGAAGTGAAGGGCTCCCACAGCCTCTTCCCACCACCCAGGGAGAGCCCCCCAGTGAGGGACCCCCCGCGTCCCACCCCAGCCCGGCTCCTGCATCCCCAGCCTCCACCATCCATACCAATGGGATGTCCCAGAGGGGCTCCAGCTTCCGAAATCCCTCACTGCTCTTCCAGAGCTTCACGCTGGCGCTGTGGGAGCCTGGGGCAGAGAGAGGAGTCTGCCATGCACCCCGACTCAGGGAAGGGAGCAGGACACAGTTGTGCCTCCGTGCCGGCCGCCGGCCGGCCCAGCGCCAGCGGCTTCTTCTTCGTCAGCCCCCACAGGGCTACAGACCTGCCAGGGAGGGGTGAAGGGACCGTGCGGGCACCGTGTGCCCACCCCACACACCGCCCCGGCCCTGTGCTCACCCGTCATCGGCGCCTGACACCATGTGCTCCTCGTTGATGAGCTGGATACAGTCAATGGAGCCCCTACGAAGGGAAGGGGAAACTACCATCAGTTATGAGCATGCTTTGGGATCCTATTTAGGAGACAAGAGCTCACCAGGGCATCAGCATCCCCAGGGTGGTGCCAGGCTCCCAGCGATGCCTGGCATCCATACACCACTGTCCTAGCCAGACCCGCCTGCCCGTGGCCCCCATTCTCCTGCCCTGGACCTACTGGTGCCCACAAAACACAAGCTGTGACTCCTCGGGGATCTTCCAGAGCCGCACGGTACCGTCCCGTCCCCCTGCCGTCACACAGCACTCCCGGCTCAGGCTGTCCAGCCCTGTGATGACATCCTGGTGCCCAAACCTGGAGGGGGAGATAGCAAAGAGCTGCAGCGGGCACGGCCCTCTGCCACATCGCCTCCCCCAGCAGGGTCCCCCTTCTGGTCTTACAAGGTCTCCACATATGCATTCTCCGCCACATCCCAGACCTTGACGCAGCGGTCGTGGGAGGCACTGTACAGCTGGTGCGTGCCCTTCCGGAAGGACAGGCCCTGCAGACAGACAGACAGATGGACACGGGAGCAGCGGTGAGGGACACTGGGGGGGATGGTGCAGCCTGGCCCT